ATGCTTGTGCCTTAACCCCCCAATTCTTAGGAGGTCGAGCCTTTTGAGAAGAGATGAGGTCAAAGGATTCATGCCCTGATAAAATCGGCCCAAGGAAGCTCATTTGCTCCATTCACCCTGAGGACAGAGAGAAGCCAACACCTATAAATCAGGAAACAGATCTCACCAGACACAGAATCAGCCAGCATCTTGATCTGAGACTCCCCAGCTTCCAGAACTATGAAAAATGTCTGTTATTTAAGCCCCCCAAGTCTCCTATAATCTGTTACAGCACCCTGAAAACTCAGGCCCTAAGCCTAAGAATATACCTCTCTATAGCATCACATTTTGCCGTCAATATTTTTTGAGCTTTTACTAGGTAATCTGATTCCCTAATAATTGAGGAGTTACTACAGATGTTAATATACAAGGCATCTTGCAAGGTGTGCACGTATGAAAGAAAACACAGCTTCTGCCCTCAAATAATTTCCTCATCTTTGGAGACAAGAGGTGCACAGTCCTTTAACCTAACAATAAATGTGATGTGAATGTTAAGAGGAGCATAAGCTTTGATATCAGACTCAAAACCAGTCGTTTTGTCTGTTTGGGAGACCTAGGGAAAATTACTTAATCTCTAAGCCTCAGTTTCCTCAGCTATGTAATGAAGATATCTACTGAAAAGTACTCTAAGACTTGAAAATGGTTAATTCACATGAAACACTTAGCATAATGTCTAGTACATAACAAATTTTCAAACAGAATCTTTATTAAGTAAGCATTACTCAGCCTCTAGTTGAGAAGCCAGGCCACCTATCCACACCAGCCTTCTCACCACATGCCCTCAGGACCAGGACTAGGAGGCGCTTCCTTCCACGCATTCCCTGAGGCACTGCACATCCCTTAGGACCTTACACAGGCCTCTCACACTAGACCAAGCTGACCCAGCTCATCCAAGAGACTCTCCAATTAAATCAAACACATCTCACATCTTTGTTCACCCAAATCACCAAGTGATAAGCTTCCCTCATCACTATCTCCCAAACCTTACATTTTTTAGGCTGACACAAGCTTCTCATCCACACTACAACACCAGCTCATCCCATTTCCAGAAATCTACGCTTCACCTCATCTCCCAGTATTCTATCTCCCTAAACCTAACTGAAACCTGCCTCTTTCCTTCAGACTTCTGCAACAACTGAAGCTTATTATCAAATACTCCTGGAACTCAAGGAGTTTAGATGGACTTACTATGAAGCCTGTGAAACTTACTTCAGTGTCCCTAACTGCCTGGTTAGGGGTAATGTGTTCAGTTATCTGTTTTCAAACAATTTGCAAACATAGTTCAGCTGCAATCAGTTAAGATGCTTTTTCCATTCTGGCTTCCCTTCTGTCACTTTCTGGTTTGTCAGATCAAACTGTAGTGATCAATTCTGTCTTTATCAGAGGCACACAATACAGTTGATCACTCTACATAAAACAGATTTCTCGATCTGCTCCTTAGTACACCCCTTTAGTTTTCCTCCTTCCTCTCTGCTTTTCTGAAGCTTCACCTTCCCACTTGTGAACCCAGCAGTAACCCAAGAGCAGTCTTCTGCACGTTTCTTTGCTCCGTAACCTGCAGAGGATAGACCCCTGTCACAGGATGAGACCCCAAACTAGAAGACATCATTCATACTCTGCAAACAAAGCTGTATCTCCATTCCTAAGGCCCCCTGAATTCCAAATGAATTTATATAAATGCTCACTTCAGAGTTCTACCTGAGATGTCTAGTAGTCCAAAACTCAAGTCACTGTTCTTCCCAAATCTATTTTTTCAGTCCTACCTCAAAAGCAATTCTATCATTTCAGTTGCTTGGGCCAAAACCCTTCAAGTCATTCCTTACTCCTACCTCCCATATCCAATCCTTCAACAAACCCTATCTCACCCTTCAGAAGCCAGTCACTACCTCTACTACTCCCATCTACTCTGGACCAATCAGGATGCCAGTCAACTTAAGGCCAGACATCCTGCCTCACACTTGCAATTCCAGTGCTTTAGAAACCTGAGGGCCACTTGAGACCATCCTGGACAACACCGAGGTCCTGCCAAAAATAACTAGCAGGGTGTGGTGTGCTTAACTATAGTCCTAGCTACTAGGAAAGGTCAGGCAGGAGGATCCTTTGGGCCAGAAGTTTGAGGTTACAGTGAACTGACTGTGCCACAGCAAGAGACCTTCACCTGGAATAGAGCACAATGGCAATCAGCCTAATTCACAGTATCATCAAACTCCTAGGTTCAAGCAGGCTCTCCTATCTCAGCCTTCCCAGTAGCTGGGACTATAGGCACCAGCCACCACCCAGCTAACTTCTCTGTTTTTAACAGAGACAGATTCTGTCTTCTCAGGTTGGTCTCCAAATTGAGCTCAAGGGATCCATCCTCCCATCTCAGCCTTCCAGAGTGCCAAGGATTGTTAGGTGTGAGCCACGGCGCCAGGTTGACCCTGTCAACCTTTAATAACTCAGTTCATGTCACTCCTCTATTCACTCTCTAAATGGAAGCTCATCTTACAATACCTACGGCCTACAGGACAACTGTTTCTCACTCAGCTCTAGCCATGACACTGCTGTCTCAAAAGACTACCCCTGTTTTTCAACCTTTTCACAGCACACTTGAACCTTTGAATTTCCACAGCACACTTAAATCATGTTGATCAAAAAAAAAAGAGCAAAGGAGAATATACTTACATTGCTTCAAACTTCTTTCAAAAGTAATAACCTTTAAAAATTTTCACGTCAAACCAGTTGAAAATCATTGCTGTATCCAGGAATCCTCCGGCCCTCACTTGCACTACTATACTGAGCCCCTCAGTAAATTGAGAAAATTAAAAAGAAATTAATTTTGTAAGGAAATTTCTATAACCATTTAACTATTCCGGTCACATTAAAACACTCATAAACCGAAGGTTTTTTTTTCAACTTTATTTTATGTACATGAATTGGCCATATGTGTAAGTTAGCATAGCATGGTTTCTTTCATTGCGTCCCCCTGGATAATCCATTCAAGGAAGAATACTTAGTCCAACTGAAAAAAAGAAAAAAAAGATAGGAAACAAATTACTTCAGAAAGTTTTTTAAAGTCTCAGCTTGATTTTGACAAGAATCAGGTCAGCATAGAATACTGCTTAAGCTGGAAATGTGACCTACCCAAACTAACTACATCAAAATCTATGGTAGTCTAAATAAAAGTTTACTGAACACTTAGTATATAAGCTGCTCCACAGACCTTACTACATTTCAGACTATTATTTCTGGTACTGTATGCCCCCTTCTTCCCTCAAAGAAATATTTCTCAAGACAAAACACTAATACATAAAAACTTCAAGTGCTCAGAATGGTTATTAAATAGGTAAATACACTAACAATCTCAAACTGTGCGAAAGGACAGAACACAGGGCCAGTAACTGGACTATCATGGATTCTCATGTGCGATAAGACTTCCCAGTAAGTTTACATAAAAACTTCAAGTGCTCAGGATGGTTATTAAATAGGTAAATACACTAACAATCTCAAACTGTGCGAAAGGACAGAACACAGGGCCAGTAACTGGACTATCATGGATTCTCATGTGCGATAAGACTTCCCAGTAAGTTATGCAAATTGTCCACAAGGTAACACTAAGTATACTGAAGTACTTGGCCAGCACTGAGATTAAAGATACTGACTCTGCCACATCAGAGATCTCTTAATAACAGTTTACATCACTATAATACACAAAAACACTACTTTCCACACAAAATAATTAGGAATTGGCTGGTGATTTTCAAGAACCAATGTGAAACTACTTTTTACCTTCTAAAACACCTATCTTAAATTATCTTTAGCAGCCAAGAAAGCTTCACATAAGCCTATCACATATGCTGATCAAGGTCATAGAACTATTATACGGCAGACCCTTGTTTGCTGAATCCCAACAAAGCCTATCTAGCGCTATCAAACGTTTCGGGTCACTGGTTAACAAATATATTCGCTTAAGAAACGTCCAGATGTTTTTAAGGTCGATAAAGGAGATGTAGAATTTTAACTTTAGTGACTTCTGTTAAACAGTAATTTTATCCAACTAATACACAGCACCTAAAACTTACCAGGCAGAGCTAGATAAGCAAAATGGGGCCAGAAAGACTCGTTTCAAGTCTTTGCCCTCCCCATTCTATCGCTCTCAAGGCCCAAACCCGCGACAGTCAACCGCTAACACAAGCCCTACTAACTAGAACCGCGGGGAAGGCCTCGGAGGCGCGCCCACTGCTCCGCCCGCGGACCCCCGGGGGACGGCGGCGCCCGCGGACCGTACCTTGATGAACCCGATGTCCTTCGCGTACTGGCGGAAGCACTGGCGGCACATATTGAGGCCGTATTTCCGGATCAGACCGTGCCGGTTTGAACAGACGCGGCTGCAAGAAAAGACACTGCGTTTTTGCAGGTCGCGAAAGTTACAGGACTCCCCGCTCCGAGGGGCGCCACCCGCGCCCGCGACCCTTACGGGCCCATCAGAGAGGCCTGTAATGGCGGCGCTCGCAGCTCCGATTCCGTCTCCCCTCCTCCCGTGCCGCCCACGGGCTTCTCTAATTGAGACTTTTAAGCAGCCTCGCACCCCAGGGCAACCTTTTCCTAAAACCACAATCTATTTCTTACCAAGAACGAGAACCCTGGCCGAATTTTCGCGGGTGGCTCCAGTAGAGCTGCTGGTGCCCCATCTTGCTTTCAGGAGTGCAACGAGGCAAAAGGAAGGAGTGGGTGTGCGCGTGCGCCCTTCAAACTTTCAGGCCAGTTTACCCAGAATGCAGTGCTAAAAGGTGACGCAGGCGCAGTGTGGCAACGGTGTCCCACGGGGGGAATAGAGCGAGCTATTGGAAGTGAGCTAGGCCAGGGCAGTTAGTGACGTCACCACAGCACAGCTTCTAATACTCTCCAGCACCGCCGTTTCACCGCCGGGCGCGGTGGCGCGTGCCTGTAGTCCCAGCTACTCGGGAGGCTGAGACTGGAGGATCGCTTGAGTCCAGGAGTTCTGGGCTGTAGTGCGCTATGCCGATCGGGTGTCCGCACTAAGTTCGGCATCAATATGGTGACCTCCCGGGAGCGGAGGGTCACCAGGTTGCCTAAGGAGGGGCGAACCGGCCCAGGTCGGAAACGGAGCAGGTCAAAGCTCCCGTGCTGATCAGTAGTGGGATCGCGCCTGTGAATAGCCACTGCACTCCAGCCTGGGCAACATAGTGAGACCCCGTCTCTTTTGAAAAATAAAGAAGTGGAATTTTGAAACATTAAAAAACTAAACGCTTTTATCGACTAAACCTTCATGTTCTTTTAATTAAAAAATTCGCCCTTGGAAACGGATTTTGCTTCAACTCAACAGTGACACCTACTGGAATAAACCTTAAAAACAACCTGAAGTTAGTTGTAATAACTACAAGTCAACAGTAGGAGTTTCCTTTTATTTCGTTAAACACAATGCATTTTCAATTGGATTTTTTTTAAATCGACAGCGTTTATTCAAGAAATACACCCACACCCTTCCAGAAAAGAAGAAAAAGAAAAAAGAACGATAGGAGGTTCTCTGGTCCTTTTAGTGTATTTGAGACTTAAATGTAGATGGCTGAACTTAAATTGATAAAAGTAAAATAAAGTGATAAAGTAATGTTTTGACCAGAAATTTTGATGAAAAATTGCTAGAAAAGAAAATATACAGAGAGAAGAAAAATCATAATAAAAACCAAATCTTTGTTGAAAAGTGTCTAAATGCCAAATGATCATTTATAATGCCCCTAGGTAAAATTGAAATCAAAACCAACTAGATTTATGAACGATTGCATAGAGTGTAACTATTCAGAAAACTTTTACACATAAACTCTTCAATTAGAATGGAAATACAACACTTCTTTATGGTACCTTTTTTCAGGTTTCTAGTTGGGTACAGGCTATCCAATCATTAAGTTAGGCATTGTGTTATATGTTTAAAGAAGGGGAGTCAGAGATTTAAAAATCAGACTTGACTGATACCTCCGCCCTCAAAATTTGCTAATCTAATATGGGAAACAGAATTATCTCCCAGAGCTCTTTCCTCTCCTTTCACTTTTCTGCCTAACCACTATGCATACAACTAAGTAAGCAGAATATTCTGTATTGAATAACGGATGTGCTTATGAAATATGAAAACAAAGAAGAGAGAAATTAATTTTAACTTGAGGTGCTTTTGAGGGAACTTTGAGCTGGACCTGGAAAAATGGGATTTCACCAGGCAACACTTGATATAAGGAAATGCTTGGTGAGATTAAGAGCTCAAGCCTAAGAATGGAATTGGAAAAGGTTTGGGGAAGGTGAATAACCTTGTATAATCAGAACGAGAGGTGCACAAAAGGCCTAGTGATAGATAAGAATGAAAAGTTATTTTATTTTAAAGCCTGATTGGGGAGGCTCCAATGTCAAACTTCTATAACTTTCCTGGAATTTATATGTCACTGATGTATGAGTATATGGGGTCACACATGTATATGTGTATATATATGTGTGTGTGTGAACACATACATATATTGATATTTATATTTTTATAGATTTCTTTTCATTTTTACAACAGAAGTATACCATATTCAATGTTTCTCACATAGAGTACAAAGCATCTTAGAAGAGTATAAAAGTTATGATGAAATATATAACAAAATAGAGATTGAAGTTGAAGTGAAATATCCTTGGGCGAACATTTCTTTGCATACTTATATCTATGGATAAATATATACATAATAAAGTAAGTCTATAAGATTTTATAAAGTATGTCTATATATATAAAATAAAATATATCTATAAAATATCATCCTCAGACCAGACGTGGTGGTTCACGCCTATAATCCCAGCACTTTGGTAGGCTGAGGCAGGAGGATTGAGTAAGTCTAGGAATCAAGGTTACAATGAGCTTTGATTGTGGCACCCTGCCCCAGCTTGGGTGACAGAGCAACACCCTGTCCAATAAAAATAAAATAGCATTCTGGAAATGGAGCTTCTAGGTCAAAGAATATGAGCTTTTATAAATATTTCTAACTTTCTCTGTAGAAATTGTAACAATCAGACTCATACCCATAGAAAGTACCTGTTTCCCACAATCTCCCAGCAGATGAACTAGCAAACTTTTTTATATTTGTTGTTCAGATAGCCTAAAAATGGTTAAGTGCTGTTTCAGCTTGACTCTTTGATGAGGCTGAGCACATTTTCTTATTTTTACAAGACAGACATCTTATATACCTTTATCTGAGAACTTCTTGGAGTCCACAGCCTTTCTTAATGTGTTGATAATCTGTAGTTTATCTATTTGTACTTACATGCCAGGAAATACATCTTTGACCTCCATATTAATTGCAAAGTTAGTTTATTCATCACCACCTCAAATTCTTATTTTTTCGTTTATTATATACCTTTTTGCACAAAAGTTTTAAAGTCTAAAATTTAGGCTTTGCATCAAAATTCTAAAAAATTCTGTGGCTTCCTGTGATTATTTTGGCATTTTCAGTTTTATTTTAAATCTTGAATGGGCCTAAAATTTATTTCACTGTTCTCTGCAGGGAAAAGGGAGAAATCCAGCTTTCCCCCACTCCCAAATGGCTAGCTACTTACCCTAACGTAAGCAACATTAATTAAATGTGTGATCACTCTATTCTAGGACAATGCAGGCTTTCATAAATATTTGTTAAATGAATAAATTAAAAGCAATATTCACTTATTCTTTCTACAAATGGGCACTGAGTACCTACTGTATGTAAACACCACATCAGACCTTGTATATGTGTTTTTAACAGTAGTAACTCAGGCAGGCCTCTGGAACCTTGCCATGTAGCGGTGAGAAAAGGCATTAAATAAGTAATCATATAGCAGTATTTTAGACAAGATAATGTAAAATTCTTCTGTGAAGACCAAAATGTGGTGGATAAAATGTCACGTTTTAAAATGCATTAATTCTGACAAAGGTGAATCCCACGGACAGGTACTAAGTAGGAACTGAAAAACCACAGAGGTAGCCCTGGAAGAATTTGTCTTGCTAGGTAAAGGACCTGATTCCAAAGAAAGCTACAGACAAGACTTTGGGCAATTACATTTGATAAAATTGTCAAGAATGGAAATCCATGAAGGATTTTAGGAGAAAGTAAATGTAGCATCTGAGATGAGCTCTAACCCTGTTTGTTCTAACATTATCTATGACATCATGACCAAGTATTATGTCTTTCCCTCTTGTGTAAAACGAGAGAATTGAAGAATATCTGTAAACTGTGTTTTAGCTCCAAAACTTTAGGATTCTGTAAAAGGTGATTCCTTTAGAAATTTAATGGGCTGCAGTGTGAATGCTTGATTATAACATTAGCTGCCTGATATCCCTGCCTCCAGGCTTGTCCTACCTCCAAAATAAGCTCTTTACTGGCCAGAAGAACCTTCCTGAACACATTTGAATTTTATCCCCTGCTTAAAATTTTTGAAAGGTTTTCCAGAACTTTCAGGTTAAAGTTCAAAGGCCTTGGTTTAACAAACAAGTTGTTTCATCATCTCCCAACTTTATACTCCTGTAAAGGACTCATTTAACATTTATCCCCATGTAGTGTAATTGTTGATTTTCTTGTCTCTTCTAAGCACAACAGAATGTGCTTCGCCTTCTAAACATTTAACATAGGTG